GACGACCCCGCCAGCATGCCCGACGTAATTTCTGCTCTTCGATCAACCCTGCTCTCTCCTCCGCCACCCACGTCCCTCTCTCTCTCTCACTCTCTTTCATTCCGTCTCTCTCTCTCTGCTTCTTTCTGGCTCGCACGGAGCATCTATGAAAAGATTACGTCCCCTGAAATTCGATCGAACGAGCAGCAGCGACCCTCTGTCTTGTTGCTCTTGCCCCGGTCGTTGATCGACGACGGATGATTGATCGAATTAATCTTGTCCGTGTGAGAGAGAGAGAGACAGAGCGCGAGAAAAAGAGTGCGCGAAAGAAAGAGAGAGCTAAAGAGAGAGAGAGAGAGAGAGCGTGAGAGAGACTAAAAAGTAGAAAGTAGCGATAAATGGAACGCGGCCAATTTAAATAGGGATCGAGTAACGAGTTCAGGCTGGCCTGGTGACTCGATAACATCTCGGCCCATTGATTATTCCCATGGATAAGGACGCGGCGGGGCGCGGGGGCCTTCGGCGGGGTGGCGCGGGGCAGCGGGGCAGAGGACGGAGGGTCAAACATCTCGAAAAGGTCGATTCATTAGGGATCGCGGTGGAAGGGACGCGCTGGTAACCGGCGTAGATGTATCTCAGCAAGGTTGGAGGACCTCGGCGAAGAAGCGGACGAAGGAGAGAACACGAACAAGAACCAGAAGAACAAGAAGAACAAGAAAGGAGAAAGCGAGAAGGTGAAGAAGGACGAGAAGGACGAGGAGAGGATCGCGAGCGAGGAGGCGATGGAAGAGGGGGCGAAGAAGACGAGGAAGAAGCTCTCGGAAGGAAGCGTCCGCGGTGGTCGGCCGGCGTAGTCCTGGCGGCGTCCATTGCGCAGCCGTCCTCCGAGGATGCCCGAAAGAGTCACGGAGGCGCGAAACGCTCGTTCCACCGTGTCCGGAAGCATCGATGTGGGTGAACGGAGGGCCACGGCCGGAGAAGGAGGAACGAACGAAAGCGGAATAGAGGGTGGAACGGCGGCGGCGAGGAACGCTAGAACGAGGAGGAACGATGATGGTGATCGAGGGGCGCATGCGTGCGCGAAAGCTCGGCTACCGGAAAGCCCGACAGAGATCTAGATGGGGTACGGATCGGCCGAAGCCTGCGTCCGACGGAGAGGCCAAAGAGAGAGAGAGAGAGAGAGAGAGAAAGGGTGAGAGAGCGGCGAGAGAGAGAGGCGAGAGGGTACGAGAGGAGAGGGCACGAGGAGAGAGGGTGGCTCGCGGCGGGGAGAGGGGGAGGAAGAAGGAACGTATACAGAGAGCGCGGCTCGTAGGGCAGTCGTTCCTCCTTCGTCGTTCCTTCGCGGAGGCGCAGAGGCCGCGCTTTTAACGAAATTATTCCGTGGGAGAGAAAAAAGCTCGGCCCTGGCCTGGGCTCGCGAGTCGAGACGAGACGAGACGAGACGAGTCGAGTCGAGTCGAGTCGAGTTGGGTCGAGTCGAGACGAGGCGATCCAGCCAGCCGTCGACGCGCCTCCACTACTCTCGCTCGGGAGCGTCGCGACGCCTCGTTTCACCTCGTTTCACCCCCGGCCCCGAACGGCGAGCCAGTCGGAGAGAGAGCAGTCTGGTTGTTGCGTGCCGAGAGTACAACGGTGGAACAGTGTCGGTCGTCGGTCGCGTCGCAAAGTGCTGGTGACGAGGAGGAAGCCGCGCGCGGGCGGCCGTCCCACACGAGAGCACCCAGGAGCTGGAGGCGCGCGGCACCCGAAAGCGGGAGTCCGAGGACGTCGCACACGGTTTTCCTCGTCCACGGTCAGTATCGCGGCTCACCCATCGCAAAGGGGGCCTCGACCCCGCTCCCGTTCGACGGACCCCTCTCTCCAAGGACCTTCTTCGGAGCCTCTCGCCGTCCCGCGGCCGGGGACAAGCCTCTCGATACAACAAGCCTCGAGGGCTCGCTCGGGCGTGGATCCGTTCCGCTTCGAACGGCGGAGCTTTTTCGACAGAGTTTTTCCGGCCCCGATCGCCTATTATTGATTTCCGCAGGACGCGGCGCCCGTTTCTCCGCTCGTCACGCGAAAATTTTGGCCGCACCATCGCGCGTTTCGCCGCGATCGATTCGCACGCTCGTCCTCCCACCAGTCTCGCAAGCGCGGCCGACCCTACGCCGAACTCTCTCTCTCTCTCTCTCTCTCTTGCTCTTTCTCTCTCTCGTTCTCTCTGCTCCTCTTCCTCCGCCTCCATCTACCCCTCGCCCTCTTACTCCGCTCCTCTTCGGCCGCGCTCACGCTTTTTTTCCCGACCGTCGCGATCACCGTTTCCGCGGTTCCCGAGGAGGACGGTCCTCCTCGAATCGGCGAATCGAGAGGATCGATCTCCCGGCCGGGCCAAGGATCACCAGGGGCCAAGATCCTGGGGATCCATAAGGGGCTGCCGCGAGTGTGTGCTCCGCGCCGCCGTTGCTGGACAAAAACCGTTGTTGCTGTTCCCGTTCGATCCTTCGAGCCGCGACCGATGGCGATCCTCTCGCGGTAGGAGAGAGACACGGGCTTCCAATCCGGACACGGGCTTCCTCGTCGTCCATGGGACGAGTCGACGACGCTGGAGCTGTCGCCCGAGAACCGTGAGTCGAGCCGTTGCGTTTCTCGAGCGTTCGCGTATCAGCTCCGGTGCCGGCGCGCCGCGACCGCTCAATTATCGCCGGGGCTGTTGTTAACCCGGGTTCTTTCGAGCCGGAGCGATGAAAACAGACTCGGCCATACCTAAATCTCTGTCTGTGCACCTGTGCACCGTATGCAAGCGGAAAGAGCGAGCGCAGCGGAGCGTTCCGCTTCGATAATCGCGCTCGAGCGGAAAGCAGGAGGCCGCTTTCCGCGGCTGATTGGACGGCATTCGAGCTAGAGCCGCGCCGCGATCAAAATTCGACTCGCCGACGGCCGCGAGCTGTTCTTCGTTTCCACGATCGCCGTCTAGAAATCGGCTAGATATCGTCCGGAAGCATCTGCCAGCGTGTCCGCCGCTTCGACGAGCTTCGCCGTGCTTCGTCGTCGACGGTGAACTCGAGTCAGGTGCGTCGGAACGATTTCTCCGGCGACCAGTATGCCGGATTTCCGCTCGAAGGGAAGCCCGAGTTTTTCGCGGAGTGCCACCACGTTCCCCCGCACCTCCTGCGCCATTTTTACCGAGCCGGAGGAGACGCTCGGATGTTTTCGATGGGAACAGGCTTCGCCTCGCTTCGGTTCGACACGAGCCTGCACCGTTGATCGAGCATTCGTTTGCTTGGACAACGTTGTCTCTCGGGCTGCGATCGCTGTCACGCGAGATCTTCGGGAAGCTCGAGGTCGCGGCGGATTAATCGGCGCGATATACTTAAATCGAGAACCTCTGTTTCGGAGAGGAACCGTTGGAAGGCGCTGATCGATAGATCGGATCGAGCGACAGATCTCGTCGTCAAAGGTTATAAACAAACGGCGTCGAGAGAGTCTCGCCGGAGGCTTCGACGAATTCGCGATAATTGTCTCGTTATCCGCGAATGCCCGCGAGACAGGGACCCGTGCCGGCGCGAGCGGATTCCTCGGGATCCGATAAGCCTCCGAAAATAGCTGATCGGAGATCGAGCGATAATCGACGCGTCGCCGGGATATCGACTCGGGTTCGGAGCGGGTTTTACGTTTTACAGAGCAGAGAAATCGCTTCGGCACGTCGATTATCCGACGGCCAGGGCCGTGCGCGGAATCTCGCCGGCCCCGGCCACTGTTAATCCTCCGAAAATTTTAGTCTCCGCTCGAAGTCCTCCGCGTCGATCCCTTCGCGCGGGTCCAGAGGGATCCTCGATCTTTGTTGCGACGTTTTACGTTTCGTTTTGACAGAATTTTCCGCATAATCTTCTCGCGTCGCGGCTAATCCTTCCGCGATATTTCGCTGTTCCCTTCGCAATAGTTCGCGGTCGAAAGCTCAAGCTCGTCGTCTCGCCGTTGAATTGTGCCTTCGATCAGGGTCCGACGGAGGATCGTCGACGGAGGATCGTCGACGCAGGGATCGCGAGCGCGCGGCGGATCGGCTAGAAAGTCGTGCGAGCAAAGACGCTCGGACAAAGGGGGCTCGCGACGGGCCGAAACAATCGTTGGAGATTCAATGAGGGACCGTCTGCTTGGTAGACGCGGCCGAAAGAAAAACGAGGGGGTGCCTAGGGGGGCCGTCCGGGCGGGCGCGGGGCTCGCGAAGGGGCGGGCGAGAGCCGAGTCATCGTACTCGGGACACGGTCGGAGGGCTCTTATCTCGATGCTGCCGGTGTAGGTTAGAGACACTCCGGTGTCCCAGCTTGATCCTCGGGCCCGATACGAGGAGATCGGATCGATCGATCGACTTTCCGAACAGAGAAGTCTACTCGAGTTTTCCTGACCTAAGAATACATCGGAGTGGAGTGTCTCGTGGAACGGGGTGGAGTGGACCCGGGGGTGGGGGCCGGGCGGTGGGCGGGGGATCGAGTGGGAACCCCGCCCCCTTGGAAGAGCGTCTCGACGGCGATCGCTGCAGATTTGTCTTTTCTTTCGGCGTAGCCGCGCCGCGAACCGCCGCGAACGCGACGGCACACGTCCGCGATCCGCCGACGGGCTCGCCGGAGCTCGCCGGATGATCTACGGGATCTAAAAACGGTCGCGTGACCCCGCTCGATTAAACACGCGCGCCCCCGTCGTTGACATTCCCGTTCGATCGATATCGTTATCGCGTGTGTCATCTGCGAGCGCGAGATCCCTCCGCGAGATTGCCGGGGGAGGCGGGAACGCGCGAACAGCGGCGCGTCCTCCCCTCGCGTTTGACGTTCGAGGGAAAAAGTTTCGGAGAGCTGGATGAGGAGGACGCCCCGCGCGGGACCGATAAAAGGAAATTGATTCGGCGGCGCCGGGGATCAAAGACGATTCGGTGTATTCCCTCGTTAGGGGATCGGGGGCCACGTGGGAGGGAGGGAGGACGCCGTGTGCACGTGTTCGCGGCGGCCGTCGATATCAACCAGCATCTTCTTTCTGCTTCTCCGCAGAGTCGAGACGAATGATGTCCAATTGACGAAGACTGCGCAACGCTAGGAATGGCCCCATTCAGTTCCGTTTTCCTCGGCGTCTGGGGAGTGTTCGTTATCGTTATGATACAAGGTACTGTGCGCGAGCTGCGACGGATCGCGCGAGCGGGGCGCGCTCGCCCTGTAATCAGCGGTTCTTAACCTGAAGATGAATCGATTCGTCGAGAGGTCCTTCTTTCTCTATTTCTCCCCGTTTCTCGTTCTCTTTCTCGTTCTCGTTCTCTCTCTTTCTCTCTCTCTCTCTCTCTCTCTCTCTCTTTCTCTCTCTCCGTGTTTCTTGCCCCGAAAGGAAACGACCGGCCGCTTTCGCGAGCGGCCGGATCTTTTGATATCATTGTTCCCGCGGGACAGGAGACCGTGTAATTGAGACGAGTGGCTCGTTATTCGACGAACCGTGGCCAAATATCCGCCTGCCACTTGACCCAAGACGTAACTGGTTCTAGGTTAAGGACTGCTGCGCCCCCCCCCCTCCCGTAAACGACATCGCGGAAATTCCATGATAACCAACTATTTCCAGAATCCAGGCCCTTCAGCTGGGAAGAGTGGTGGACCTACGACGGCATTTCCGGTAAGGGATTCTTCGATCGCTCGCCTAGGTGGCCGAACGTCGCCTCGTCGCTGTCCTCCGAGAACCTTCGATTCCCTCGCGAAAGTCTCATCGAGAAATCTCGGCTCTCCGTGGAGCATCGCGACCGTCTCGGCGAATCGTTCTCTCGCGGTCTCTTTGTGTTCTTTACATTGTTCGAAGCGGTTTGTAATTCGAAATCGAAATCGGCGCCTGGAACCGACGTCCGTGTCTCGAAATTCCGTCGATTTTCACGAGAGACAAAGGACGTCGAGTTCTTGCGTTTTCGACGTCGAAGTGCCTTGCTTTCGACGATCTTCGCGCACGTCTGCAAAATTTCGGACTCGTTTCCGGTTTGTTTGCCGGTTCGAAAGCGAAAACGCAGTAATTTCTTCCTAATTCGCGCTCAGAGATTGTTCTAGTTATTTTACTCGAGCCTTGCGCCACGTTTTTATACAGCATGTTCCATAATTATGCGAACACCGCGAAAGGGGCGATTCCTGAGGTCATTTCAAGCAACTTTTTCCTTTGCAAAATTTTTCTCCGCGGCTTCGTTTACGAGTTATTAACGAAAAACCATTGGCCAATGAGAGGCGAGCTCGCGTAGCGCTCTGCGAGTTCGCCACTCATTGGCCCGCCGTTTTTCGCTAATAACTCGCGAACAAAGCCTCGGAGGAAATTTTTGTAAAGGAAAAAGTTGCTCCAAATGACCTCAGGTCTTAACCTCGGGCCTCCATTTCCCGATATTGACATAATTATGGAACATGTTGCATAAAAACGAGGCGCAAGACCCAAATAACCTTCTTCTCCCAAATTGTCCACTTCTGTGCGCAATTGGAGCGCGAATTAGAGAAAAATCACTGTAATTAGAAGACCCGCGAGTCTCGAAGTCCGCGTTGAGTCGCTGGTACTCGACGGTTGAAAAAACAATATCGGGGACCGTCCTTGACGAGATCGCGAACCGTTCGCCGCTTGACTGTCCCCGGACCCCTGAATAATTCGACAGCCGGGCGGGTGGGCCACTAATCCCCGGACTTAGCGTCGCGGAAACTTCGTTTCGAAGTTGTTAACCGGTCCCGCGGGGGTCCGCGTTCATCGATCGCCGGAAGTGAACCCCCCGGCCCACCGGTTTAATCGGTGCGATTTGAAGGTCCCGGGTTCTGGGGTCTGATCAATCCCGAGTGGTGTCTGTGCAACAAGGGCAAGCGGCAATCGCCGGTGAACCTCGAGCCGTCCAAGCTCCTCTTTGACCCGAACCTAAGGCCGCTGCAGATCGACAAGCACCGGGTCGGCGGCGTCCTGGAGAACACCGGGCACAGGGTCGCCTTCGCCGTCGACAACGACACCAGACACCCCGTCAACATCTCCGGAGGACCGCTCAGCTATCGATACCAGTTCCACGAGATCCATCTGCACTTCGGTCTCGACGATCGGACGGGCAGCGAGCATACCGTCGACGGGCACGCGTTCCCGGCCGAGGTGAGATCATCTTTCATTTGCGATCGTAAAACTGGCCGAAAAAGGGACTGCATAGAGGTCTAAATGAAGTCTAAGGATACTCTAAAAGTAGCTCAATTTAACACGGTCCATTCTGTTCAATTCTCGGCGATGCTTGAGCATAGAAGGTGAATATAATAGTTGACGTTGTTGCGAGTTAAAAACGATTAAGGATAGCGAAAATCGCGATGTTCCACGACTTTGACCGATAACTGTGAGAAATCGAGAGAATTTGACATATAAAAATGTCCGTCTTCATTTCCGGATCATAATTTCCAGTCCCCCAAAGATACGATACAGTAATTTCTCCCTGATTGTCCTTCAGCTGGTATTCCAACAATGTACAGTAATGTCTCCCTAATTGACGCTCAGATTGTACACAAAAATGGACTTGCAGCTCGTTTTTATAGTTGTTCACAATTCATAACTATAAAAACAAAGCGCAAATCTCGAATAATCGTATCTTCTCTTCCCAAATTGTCCATTTTTGCAGACAATCTCAGCGTAAATTAGAGAGACATTACTGTACTGTACGATTATAAAAACGATGCACAATTCTCCGATAATCGCATCTCATCTCCCAAAATTGTCCGTTTTTGCTTCGAAGCTGAATTAGGGAGAATTCAGCGTGCTTGCGAACCGTTCGAAGCGATCGTTTCGAACGAGAAAGCTCCAAGTACGAGAAGTTTTCCAGACCGCGGCACTGAAATGTTAATGCTCTTACTTTTATCGAAAGAGAGTAATTTCGGTGCTCTATGGACGCGGATACTCGTACTCGAGGATAATACTGCCCCCGCAACCGCGAGCTACGTTTCACTGTCTGACCGGTCGCACTGCTACTCCACTTAAATTGCTAAACAGATGCCCGCTTTGCCTACACGTACACGTTCGTTCCCTTGTCCCCGTATCCTGGGAAAAGTATTCAACCTTGTCCCGTCGAACGCATTCTTCCTCTGTTCGTTCAAACGAAACGTCGTACTTGCCTATCCCGGAGAGCATCCGATGGTGGCCTGACCACCCATTCTACTCAAATCCCTGAATACATCCGCGATCTTCCTCTTTCTACTCTCGCGCAGCCTTTCTGCACGGAATATCAGCCGCGTGTGTCGTTACGGTCCGACTAATGGCGATCCCATTTCACTGGGAATTCTTACTTTCCTCTGCGGACGTCGCGAATATCGCTGTCTTAACCCCTTGCCGTACTTTGGTAAGTCCCACTCGCGATGAAAATTTTATTAGGAATTATTTATCGAGTATAGATATGTTATTCTGTTCTTTAAAATTTGAATAAAATACGAATCTCTTGCCATCGATGTTTAAGCATTCCAGTAGAAGGCATTTTAAATGAACATCAATTTGCTTTCCCTTTTAAGAAATTATTGCAATCGAACAATTTCGAATCGCGATAACTGCGAAGTAAATGGTACGTCAAGGGGTTAAATCCGTTATAATACGTCGGGAATTATTTTCGATCGAGTTCCCGTGATCCTCGAGCGTCTGTCTGGTCAAAGGCGATCCGATGTTACTGAGACTTTAACAATTGAAGCTGTATACACGATAAATCGTGTTGTATTCGAATTAGTATCAGAATGTTGGACGGATCTTTTTATAAAATTTCATTGAGTCTCGTGAACTCCCTCTTCGTCTGTGAAGGGATTATGGCTTTTTATGCAAGATAAAACGAGTTAATTGAAAGAAGATAGCTATGAATGTTTTTCTTTTATTTTAATAATCGTAACGAGCGATTTGGCGATTCGGTTAGTTATTTTCGTCACAAATGCGCGAAAAATCCGCCGTCCACTGATCTCATACGCTAGCACATGCTACCGCGTCCTAGAATACAGTAATTTTTCTCTAATTCGCACTCGGATTGCGCGCAAAAATGGACGATTTGGGAACAGCGATTATTATTATTAGAGTCTCTTATTAGAGAGATTATTATAGTCTCGTTTTCACAGCCGTTGACAACCGGTAACTATAAAAACAAACCCCAAGGCCCGAATAATCGAAGCTTCTCCTCCCGAATCGTCCATCTTCGCGCGCAATCCGCGCTCGAATTAAGAAGAAATTGCTGTAATTAGAAGACCCGCGAGTCTCGAAGTCCACGTCGAGTCGCTCGGACCGCGCGGAAAACGTTCGATTTTCCCCGGAAAAGCCGGGGATTCCAAGGACAGAGACCGAGTCTCCTCCGAAACTCGGCTCCCTCCGTCCCGTTCGAGCAAAGGTAACAGAGCAATTCCGTCGAAGTTTGTAAATCGAAGCGCGTACACAAAGAGCTCCGCGCCGGTGTCGACGTAACAGAGAGACAGACAGTAAGTTGCGAGGACTGGGTGGTTGTTGCCCCCTTCCCTCCCCCCCGGTCCCCGCTCAGCTCGGCTAAACTGTGGTCCGTTTTCATTCACAGCTGCAAATATTTGGCTTCAACTCGCAGCTGTACAACAGCTTCTCGGACGCGTTGCACAGGGCGCAGGGGATCGTCGCGGTGTCGCTTCTGCTCCAGGTACATGCCTAATCTCTCCGCGAATATTCCGCCGGCGAAGATCGTGGCCGGCGATCGCCGAAGATCGCAACGACCGATACGTCACAGATATCCTCTCGGTTGGCTTTCAGGTCGGGGACCTCTCGAATCCGGAGCTACGGATATTCACCGAGCAGCTGGATAAGATCAAATACAGAGGTGAGAGAGCATCGGTAATTGAATACGTTCGCGGGAATGCTGATGGGAGAGGGGGGGAGGGAAACGACGACGCAGATTCGAGTTTCCCTGGATCAGTTACATCGCGTGGCTAAATCCGGCACGAAATTACGATGCGAACGGCGGGACAAATTCATCGTTCGATTTCACGAAAAACCGGCCGAATCCGCGAAACAGTTTCGCGCGCCACCGTTTTGTCCCCCGCTTCCTCTTCTCCCCACGCCGCGAGCGGAGAAAACAAATTGAATCGAGAAAAATCGATTGTCCCTGTGTTTCCGAAACAGTTCGGCCACCGTGGAGCGCTGTAAAATTGAATTGGGAAAGATCGAATTTCGAGAGCAAAAAAAAATCGACCGTCTTTCCAGGTTTCGCGGGGCTCGGAAAAATTGAGTTTTTCCGACGGATCGGAGGGCGTCTTTGCGTTTCGCAAAAGGGACCGCGGAATCGATCGGTGCGCTTAGACGAAGAGAAATTGGGTCTAGGAAGATCGATATAGCCGGGGCGCATCGTCTGAAACGGTAGAATCCGCGGGCGGAGAGCGTGTTATTGAAACCGGAACGTTAAAAACCGCACGGAAAATGCGAAGGTCGTCGGGCCGCGGCGGCGGCGGCCGGTGTCGCAAAAACCGATTGGATCTTTTTTTTCTTCTTCGTATTATCCCGGGGCTTGGCACGTAAAGTTATAGGCTGATAGCGGGGAAAATTCATCCGTGATATCTTACGGGCCAGCCCGGTCCTTTAAGTGACATATGTGGTACGAGGTCGGCCCCAGAGGGCTGTTCCGACAGCTGCCTCATTTTTTCCAATGTAGCCGCCGTATAATATTTCTCCTAGCAATTTTTCGCATCGATCCGCGCTCTCCCCCCCCTCTCTCTCTCTCTCTCTCTCTCTACATCGCGGCTGAACGCAAAGAATATTTCGAAAACGCGGGGAAAAGGAAAACGCGTGGTTAGACAGCGTTCGCCGTACGCGTTCGCCAATAATGAATCGGCGAGAGAAGCCTGCTCTCGCTTCGAAACCCCTTCGAAACCCTTCGAAACCCTGCGAGCCGAATCGCGGCGTCGATTAATATGATCCTCTCGAAACTTTTTGTTTCACGGTCATCGTGGCGATCGATGTCGCGTTACAATCGCGTGAAATCTCGATGAATCGCTCGACGCCCGGTGCTTTCAGCGTTAAAGGGTGACTCGAGCGGATTTTTCCGAGTATTCGCTTGGCAGGAAAGTAATTTCGGTGTTTCGATGTGAAATAGAACTCGATTTTGTTTTATATGTAAGAAATGAGATTTAATCGGTCGAATATTTTCCATTTTGTTCGACGAGCTTTCGTCATCTTTCCAGTAATCTTCATGAATAAGTATATTATAAAACTTCTGGTCCAGTTAAAAAAAGTCGATCAAGCGCGATTCGAGGCTATCGTTATATATATAATATCGACCGCTTTCGTTGCTTCTATGAAAATAAAGAAGTAAAATGTGTCGAAAACGTTCATTATCGCAGTCCACGTTAAAATTGACAGCAAATTGACATTGACATTGTTAACAAAACTACACCGAATTTGTTTCTATAGTAATCTAAACGTGTCAACCACCAAAGCTGAAGACAACGAAATAAAAACCGTAACAAAAGAATGACAATGCAAACGTAACGCTATCTATTAATGCAAACCAAAATGACTTTCTTGCCAAAGCAATAAAATATCAACGACACAGAAGAGAGAGCTATTGTTCAATCTATTGTTCAATCCTTCAAGGGGGAAAGAAAAATAAAGAAAAATAAAGAAAAATAATAACCTTAACAAAAGAATGACAATACAAACCTAACGCAATCTATTAGTGCAAACCGAAATAACTTTCTTGCCAAACCAATACAAAAATATGATGACGCAGAAGCTATTGTTCGATCCATTGTTCAATCCTTCAAGGGGGAAAGGACGAGAGAGATATCTAGCTAAGAAACTCGCACGCAGATTCGACATTAGCGAAACAAGGGACCGAAACTCGGACCGGATCGCCGTGCCCCAAGAAGGGTTCGACCTGTCCGCCACGGGGTGGTTCGATAAGGTCGTCGTGATCGCGCGCGCGTCCCCCGATCCGCCGAAGGGCGTATAAAGCTGTCCCTATAGGCGCGAGGTAGCACATCCGCCGCTTGAAAATTTCAGCTCGCCCCGTCGGCCCCGGCCCCGGCGCCGCCCCGTGACCCCCTTGGGGCGGGCGCGGGGTCGCAAGGCTCGGCGAGAAATTCGCGAAGTTGTAGCCGGGACGGTTCGATCGGCGAGAAAATTACCGTGGCACGGCGTGTGTCGGGACGCACGCGAACTTTTCACCATGCTCGCGGCCATTAGCTCTTAAGTGACTGGGAAAACGGGGCTCCGGGTGTTGTAAGCGGCCCCGGTATTACACCGTCGAACTGGCGCGAGGTTGGGGCAGGGGGGGACCGAGGGGGACCGTGTACGGGCACGTCGATGCTAATTGGGGTACCTATGCGCGTCACGGTCGGTGCCTTGTCAGGTGCACCCCGCGCTCGGCCGCTTGTTCATCGATCGATGTATACCGATTGCACACAGGCCAGACGATGGAGATTAAGCGTTTCGCGGTGAGGGAGCTCCTGCCGGACACGAAATATTACATGACGTACGACGGCTCCATCACCATGCCGGCCTGCCACGAGACCACCACGTGGATCATCCTGAACAAACCGATATACATCACCAAGCAGCAGGTGAGAATCGAATCACGCCAATCTATACCGATGTACCGACGCCGCGCGCCCCTCGGCCCCTCGCACCCGGGGGGTCGGCCAGCGAATACCAATCGGCCCGGGGCGATCCTCTTTTTTCGGCCAAGGCTGACCTTAGTGCCGAGGCCGAGGGGCTCGGCTCCGACGGGGAATCGCGTCAGCTGTCCGGGAAATTGCATCGATTCCGGCGGATGCGGATATTCGCGATCGCTGCTCTTAGAACAGCTGTTCTTAATATAATCGTAGCCGGGAGACCGGAATAGATCGACGCGGCTAGGAATGCATTGGTTGCGGCAAATTGGAAGAATTATTCGGGCGATCGCGCGATGTCGCCAGTAATGTCTCCCTGATTGACGCACGGATTGTGCAGGAAAATGGACAGTTTGAGAAGAGGAGATACGATTATTGGGGTCTTGTAGCTTGTTTTTATAGTTGGTGACAATCGACAACTGTAAAAGTGGACCGCAAGGATCGAGAATAATCGTATCTCCTCTCCCTAAATTGTCGATTTTCGTGCGCAATCCGAGCGTCAATTAGGGTGACGTTATTGTAACTGTTGTGTGTCTCGACGAAGCTCGACGATATTAGCGAGCTATAGCAAATTCTGCCTAATTGACGCTCAGTTTTTAAACGGAAATGGACAATTTATAGTTGCTGATAATCGGTAACTATAAAAACTAGCCGAACAATCGCATCTTCTCTTCCAAAATCGTTCATTTTTGTGCACAATCTGAGCGTCGATTAGGGGGAACTTACCGTATTACGATTTCTTTCACAACTATGTTTATCATAGCACTTTCCACATTCTTGTTTCTTGCACGTTTCCATTAATTGATGAAAGTGTCCAAGAATCATTTATATGCAATAGCAAATTATGCTTATTTTTATATTTATTAATATATTATATGAATTTTATTTGGCGCCTCACGCCCGCCGAGCTCGCCTCTCATTGGTCACTGTTTTTCGTTAATAACTCGTTACCGGTGCCTCGAAGAAAATTTTTGTAAATGAAAAGGTTGCTTCGAATGACCCGAGGAACCAGCCACTTTCGGATTGCGAGACATTTTTGGGACACCCTAATCAGGTATTTTAATCGATTTGTCAGAAACAGATTTCGCATCTTCAGTTCGTATCTTCAACTCGAACAACGAACAAATTTTGGCTCGATCGTTCCATATTTTTCCTAAAAAATTCATCCAACAACTCTTCCCTTCGATCCGAGGATTCGATGGATCCGCTCTGAAATCCGCATCGCGAGTCAAGCAGGACGCGTCTACTGAATTCTGCCCCTGTCTGACCAAAGCCGAGCTCGCGCCACTGAAAACCTCCAAGGCGGCCGGGCTTGAACGGAGCCGATCCGCCGTGGGAGCCGTAAAATTATGCGACTTTTTTGCCGAGTCCGATACGAACGGCGGGGATTCCGTAGCCGGGGGATTTCCGGATCAATTTTCGAAAGTGGGCGGGAGTGTTTCCCCCCCGTGGTTTTGCTGGCCGGGGAGGGGGGAGGAAGGGGACACCGCGGCCCGATTTTCGCGGCCGATACCGGCGCGGCGCCTCCGGGCTTGACCTTATTCGGACACGGGATCGAAGAAGCAGTTTCGCCGATCGTGTTCAGGGTCTGGGATCCTTGATTCCTTTGGCATCGGATCGTATCTGGCCGCGACGACTTGAGGGATCGCGGCAGCTCACGCACGAAAGTAGTTTCTGATGTTCTTTTAACGATTTCGCGTGGCCAGGGACGCGCGGCGTAATCTTCTCCCCGGTTCGCGGCGCGGCGCGGCGCGGCGCGACCTCGAACAAAAGGAAATTGGTTTACGTGGCTCCTTTTATCTGTCCCGGATTACCCTTTGACGACTTAATGCGATTTTTTTCACCCGGAGCAAACGATCCCCTCGCCGCCGCGCCGGTAAACCGTATTATTGTCGGACGGTGAAAGGGTTCGTTAATTAAACCGAGCCACCGCTTGATAGCCCCCGCTCTCTCTCTCTCTCTGTCTTTTTTTTCTCTCTCTTTCTATTTCTTCCCCCGCTCTCCGCGACCTAATGATTCTCTGATAATTTGCTCACTCGAAACGTACGAAACGATCCATCGATCTCGATTCATCGTGAAATAAAAATTGCCAAACCCGTCGTTTGATTATCGATGATACAGTCAGTGTTAATCCTCGCAGGACGGACGCAGGGCCAAATGTGACCGAAAACCGGTTCTGAACTGTTCGAAAAGCATCGTTCTTCGCTACAATATATAATATATACATATAAATATATACAGTAAATTGTCTACTAATTAATTTTTAACATTTCCATTGTTTCAAATTTCACAATTTTTCTTTAAATTTCCAAAACCCATAAAATCCGCGGCCCGATCCGCGGCAGTTGTTTTCACCCTCCGGCCGCGAGCGACGAAAAGCGATCGCGGGGATCGCGGTGGTCGTTCCTCGACGGAAAAATCGTTCTTTCCGTCGTGACGGCAATAAATAGCGGATTTCGAGCGGCGAGACGCGGGCGTGATATGAAAAATTGCGAGCGGTTCGAGCGCGTCGCGCCGGTAAACAACGATCCGCGCGCGTAACGAAATAACGAATCGGCTCTGCGGAAAGAATTAGCGGGGCCAATTATCCGCGGATTAATTCGAATCGATCCGATCGCCGTTGATGTATGTATCAGCGGAGTGTGGCGCATCGGCGTCGCCACGGTTCGAGGATGATTATTGTTCGAGCGGACACGCGGGGGCCCGATGCGAAATCCGGCGACGTCGGATCGATCGGATGAACGGCGGGCCGGCGGCCATTTTCGAAAACAGCCACACATACAGAGAGAGCGAGAGAGAGAGAGAGAGAGGCAGCACCGTTTCGTCTCGGGCTCGCCTCGCATTTTAATAATACGGGGCACCGGCGGCCGGAGCCGGAGTCGGCACGCGTTCGCGAAAAAACGGGCGCAAACAATGCCGGAGAATTCAATAACGGAGTCCATTGACTTCCGACGGAAGTATGGCGGTGCCCATTGTCAAACGTTTAAACGATTCGCGGAGCCCCCTCGCTCTTCTCTCTCTCTCTCTCTCTCTTTCTCTCTCTCTCCTTCTTTCTCTCTCTCTCTCCTTCTCTCTTTCTCTCACCCTCTTTTCCTGCTCCTCCCGCAGCTTCGTTTCAGAAATTAATCATCGACGACTCGAAAAATACGAGCCGATTCGCCTTCCTCTTTTTTTCTCTCTCCTGTGTGTTTTTTCTATTCTTTTTTTTTTTTTATTCGTCGGAATTAATTACTATTGTTCGGACGAAACAAAACATCGGTCGGGGAATATAAAAGGGCTCTCTGTCCGCGGCCACGCTGCCCGGAAACGCTCGCAGGTACAAAGAGCCTCCCTCGAGGGTACCAGCGATTCGATAATTGAAAAACGGCCGGCCGCGGAATAAAATTACGGAACTGTTAAATTCCGCGGGCACTGATTTCGCCGTTGCTCGGACGGCGAATGCCAGCGTGTCTTCTAGCATCGTTTTATCGTTCGTTCGGGGTCCAAGGCTGTTGAAAAGGGATGGTCGTTGAATACACGCGGTCCGGAAACATGCCGAACTATATAAAAACTATAAAATATGAACTATAATATAGGATATAACTATATTATATCATATATTATTACGCCATATTATATATTATAATATATTATGTCATATATAATATCATATAATATAATATATTAGTACAGCATGTCATATATCATAATATATTATATTATATATTCTTACATCATATCATATATTATTATATAATATATTACAATATATCATATCATATATTATAACGTATCATATCATATATCATTATAGGACATACTATAATATATTATATCATATCATATATTATTATATAATATATTACAATATATCATATCATATATTATAACGTATCATATCATATATCATTATAGGACATACTATAATATATTATATCATATCATATATTATTATATAATATATTACAATATATCATATCATATATTATAACGTATCATATCA